ATCATCCGCCTATAACACATAGTGGAAAAAAGAACGATGAATTGTAATATCAATATACATAAGAAGGGTCAGAAAAATGAGCGAAAACGTTATTATTAATCATTTGGGTCACTATAGCCGGATATGATTTCTTGAGAATCAGTCTTAATAACCGATATGTCATATTAAACGGAATCATTATATCCAAACTTTCCTATAGAGAATTTAATATGAAAAACAAACTCAACCCTGCAATTACTTCATACTAAGCCGTCATAATAAACGAATTCCACTGTAATTAAAAAATGAAATTTTACTTTTATTTCTTTGTAACAATACGGCAAATTTGGGATTAAGGCAGTAAAAGGTCTAAATACGGATTCTTATTCCAAGAAGTACCAATTACAGTGTCCTTTTAGATAATATTTATTTTATACGAGATGCAAATGTTTTTAATAATAAATTTCAAGAGAGGAATAACAATCTATTGTTTTACAAGTAAATTACGAACAGAATTGACTAAATGAAGGTTATATACGTTTGCAAGTGATTTCCATTTACTCACAGATTCTTGACGTCAAACATTTTTCCATATTATTCGAATTGGCATTTACGTCAATTAGAACTGAATTAGGATTTGTCTGATATACAAATCCTATATCAATACGAATTAATATTACACATTATTGATTTCAATATAATGGCATAGAAAAATAACTATTACATCTATTAGCTTTTTGGTCTCACGAACAGGAATATATATCCTGCAGGAACTGGTCATTTCTTCAGTGCTAGATTCTAGTCCTTACAACAGTGGTAATCGCATTAAAATACAGGCAGTAACTGTCGCGTATTATGGCAAAATTCACGACAGACGAATCTTGGGATTATTCATTTAATATACTGTATACATATACGGTTTTAGTTCAGATATTTTCCCTCTAGGTGGCGAGTTAAGTAAGTTAAGAATACATTTCAGTAATATAAGTATTGGAAAAACAATATTAGTACTGCGTGATGAAATTTTACTTTGTTTGATAAATAGTAATGATAAAATAATTCCAAGTTGGACAGTACAATCCAAATGGGGATAATTATTTATCGATCATTAAGTAAGGAATTATTACGTCTTTATGATGTCCTTTTGCTATATTTTACGTTGTAAACAATACAATACAATTTATCATTTGTGACGAAAAGCACAATCATAGAGACAAATGAAGAGTCAATAAGGAAAAGGATAAATAAATATTCCATTAACGATTTTTCGTTCCGGTGTTTTGGTCGAGAGTGTTCTAATTTTGCATTTTGCGAAGGTCAGCGACTAATAACCAAATTTTGTTTGTACATAAATGCAATGTTTGGAACGTATTAAGGTGTGTATATATTTGTGTGTGTGTGTCAATGAATGGTACGTATATATAGTACTGTATTTACGGCAAGTCAGCGGGAAATGTCCTTCTAATGCGTGCTATTTCTTTCATTGTTATTCGTTGTTGTTACAAATTATGATAAAAACATTATCAATCTCACGGCGACCTGGCGGGCGGGAAATTTTCTTAGGCTTGAAAGCGAAAAAATTACATAAACACGTTTCCAACGCAAGAAAAAGAATAATTATGAAGTATTACGTAAAAGCTTTAACAATACAAATCAACGAAATATGTACAACAGGATATAATTGTTAGACATTACTTAAATGGTTTCCATTAGTAGTTACAATGAAAATTTTTAAGTGATTTTCTTTTTAATAATACAATCAATCATGAAATTATATCGTATCTTTTAATCTGAGATACTTTGGAATTTCTATGAATCCCAAAAAAATTACGAGCGGAATATCTTAATCAATCATTAATAAATTAAATACATTGTCCAATTTTTATAATTATCCAATTATAATCATCAATTTCTGCTAATATTTATAATTACAGTGATTGAAAGTTAATTTCTAGAATCCGAACAAATTATTTTCCTTATAATTCCAAGAAGCTGTTTAATATTTGATTTTTAAAGAAAAGAGAGACATTATAGNTTTGACAATAAGTTACATAAAAACTTTTTAAATATTATTCTATTAAGCTATTACTAATTGACAGATAGCCCGTTTTCAAAGGATTCCAAGAAAATTGCAAACTAGATAGTTCTATATGAGTGCTAAACGCTATTTTGCTATCGAAAGAATACCAATAACTTACTGAAATCAATTCATCTTTTACTAATTGACAGGCAGATTACTGTTAAATCATGTCAAAGTAGTTGTTAACTAGGCAGTTCTAGATGTGTGCTAAACGACACTTAGTTCGTAAAATAACATCGCAAGGAGAGGTACACCGAGTGCTAAGTCATAAGATTTGTTGATATATCGATAAGGTATTGAAATCAGTTGTTCCTTTACTAATTAACAGGCAGCATGCTTTCGAAATGTTTCTGTTTAGAGAGCTTTACGTATATGCTAAATGGCATTTAGTTTAGCAATTGACAGGCTGTTCGTTTTTTATAACATTCCGTAATCTAGAAAATTCTACGTGAGAGCTAAAGGCCTTTTAGGTTTGTACAGAAAAGATATCGGTAAGACATTGGAATTAGCTGTTCCTTTACTAATTAACAGGCAGCATGTTTTCAAAATGCGGCACGATAACTTGGACTAGAGAGCTTTAGATGTGTGCTAAATGGCTTTTAGGTTCGTAAAAATTATGTTGAAAAACTGACACCGATATGTATGTTGTTGAAATCAATCTTTCTTTTAGTAAGTGACATGCCGCACGTTTTAAAATCAAGCTAAAGAAAACAGCAAACCAGAGCTTTTTATGTGAACCCTAAAGGTTTCTAAAATAATAACTAACAGTAAGGTCTGTGTGTTGTTATGTTATCTAAGTGGTTGACATACCTCATTAGTATCAACTTAATTTTAATGAGAAGCAGTTTTTAAACATACCCCAGGACTGTGTTGGCTGGAATGTCCAATCAATTTTGGGTCACCCGAATTGCTTTCCGAGCCGCCCTTGATCCGCATACTTTCGACGTCTATGTGCGAAAAATTGAGCGCAGTGCCGTTCGTGTAGTGGGATGAGATCTTGCGTTTTTTCGTATCGAGGTCCAGCGGACCTCTCTGACAGCTCTGGTTAGAGTTGTGAGGTATACTAGGACTAGACGTTTGAGTTATCGTTAGGTTAGGTAGAAAAGGTACGGACGATGAGGTATACTTGGTGTTTAGGACATCATGAGCCTTCGGTGACAGTGGCGTACTGGGCGGAGTCGGCGGCTGCGAAGGCGGACTTTGGTTTAGTTTGCGCGGCGGATTCAGCGTCAAATTTTCTAGGATTTTACCTGAAAACCAAAAGAAAAACATTACGTATAGTATAGTGTCAAAAAAAAAAACAACGAAATAACTTATTTAGGCATATAAAAAGGTTATGAGTATGCAGTTTTTTTATTTTATTAGAGAGAAATAGTTTCGTTAGGTTTATGTGCTAGTAGTATCTTTAATTTTGTTTCATACTGTACCAAAGCTCGGATACATTTCGTTCTTTAAAAGATCTACTGGAACGACGATGTATCTTTGAAAATGTTTCCCGAAGAAGAGCGCCCCGCTGCCACCCCCTCTCGCTTCTTTCTCCCTTTAAGTCCATTTAGTTAATCTGTTTAATATTAAACGGCGTGATTCGGCGTTTTCTTAAAACGAATCGGAGTCTAAATTGAGTCGAATGTGTTCAAAATACATACGTAATGAAGGACTTGTGTATGTTTATGGAGATTATTATTAATGAGAATTCTGGATGGAAAGCTGAAAAAGTCGGCTCGTTTTTTTTTTTATCCATCTACGTCTCCGCAACAGCCAAAAAGGTGGTCGTCAAACAATAATGGATTTCTTAATATGCTGGAAATGGTTTTTGTGTATGCTGTCTTTTTTTTTCTTAGTTGAATAACAATGTTGATGTTTATCAGGAGGAACTACTGGCCATATTTTTGTAATATAATAATAATAGTTATTATTCTTGCCTAACTAAACGTTCTTAATAAAAAATAATTTACCATTTAACGAACTCTGGGTTAGAATCTATTCGGAGATTGTTTATCTAGCTTCTTTTGATTAGGACTCTTTTATTTGATGATTCGACATAAGTTGGATATAATTTTCTGTTGGACAGTTTTTCATTAATATTAATCAATATTTTTATTAGGTGGCGCAAACATTTTCAAAAATAAGTGTCAAAATCAAAAAAAGTTCGGTGAAAGTCTCGATTAATATACGCACTTCCGATTTCGTTGACATTTTTAATGTTGTGCTGTTCACTATTCTCAACAAGACCATGTTGGGGGCTTCAAATCAAACCCAACCTAACCGAATTTCAAGAAAAATAAATACGGCTACGAAAATACTCACTTCGCTAGTGTTGCCTTTACTTGACGTGACCTTGATTTGAGGCTTTTGTTTAATTGATTATGGTCTTACGTTTACGGTAGGTAAAGGCAATGCGAAAGGAGTGAGTATTTACATTTAGTTATACATATTCTTATTTAGCATAACAGTAAACTGCACAATTACCAAGTATTTTTGAAATTAGCGATGCGTATGCCTTGTAATTGAGATCTTTACAAAAAGTTCAATGATTAGGAGAAAATTTATGTCTTTTTAATGCAAATTTAGCGACTACACATTGAAATATCAACGTAAGCTTGCACGGTTGGTTCGATTATCAGAGATGTGTAGGTATTAAAGTGGTGGGATATCTTACATTTCTTACCGAAGATAATAATTTCAATTTATCAATAATTTGATTAAAGACTTGGCCCGAAAAGAATCCTGGTCGTTCCGTCGATTTAAAATGTTTTCACTGTCGTTTGTGAGAAGCGTACGTTCTAGACAGCAACTTCAGATTTTTATCATAAATTAACTTAATGTAAATTAATGAATTAAACCTTGCCTCTAAATCCGAATATCGCATTGTTACTGGGAATTCGTGAGCCGAGAACGGAGCAGCTTATCAAAGATATGGAAATTGACCATTACTCCGTTTCTCTCCTCCGGTTGACGGATAGTTACCAGACCAAATTTTGACATATTCTTGTAAAAGCTTCCAAACCTGTTTTCGTTTTGACTAATTATCTATATATTATTATTAGTCCTCGGCTCTCGAAGAGAGTTATAATGTGTTATTCGAACTCGACAAATCGCGCAGGAGCGGACAAACAAATGAATAACTACTAATTTATTAAAATAGTGGGTAAAAAAAAAATCAGAAATTTAATTTTCAGTATAATATTTCCTATTAAACTAACTCACTTCTAAAAAGATGTCTAAATTGTATGTATGTTTAATCATAGTATATTCAGTATATAGTTACATCAGTTCGACGGATCGTTAACCTTGTAGGTCGGTTGGTCGTGGTTGCTGTTGTCACCTCTCGTAGTTTAGTGGTCAGAACATTGGTGCGTAAAGCCAAAGGTCCCGGGTTCGAATCCCGGCGGGGGTGTGATAACAACAACAATTTTTTCCTCATTAATTCGAGGTAGCGTGTAGTGGGTAAACAAAAAAATTCAGAAATTGAATTTTCAGTATAATATTTCATATAAAAATAATTCTAGTATTCTGAAAACTGAACTTCTTCGTATCCAGTAGATATGACAATGTCGCAAATGAGTTCGGATTCAAATTCGTTTCTCAAATCCGTTCCAAAATCCTTATTCAACACGAAACCGCTATTAAAAAATCATTAACGTAGTTGTTCAGAGGTTGTTAACACTTACAAGTAATAATCATGTCCGTTTCAAGTTCTACCGATTCTGAATCCCTTTTAAACTGGTTGTAGTACCCTAAAGAAATTATTTATACAAGAAAAGAATGTTGTCAAGGAAATTATATGAAGTTGGGTAGTTTGACAACAAATTCATTGTTTCAGAATTAGTAACAGGAATACATCAGTACGGTCGAACTGTTACAATTTGTTTCTTGTAGTTGGTATATCGGGTTTTGATTAACGATAACTTGTTAGTATGACTTTGTCACCTTGCAGACTTTTAGTGTTTACAAACATTATGTTCTCGTTTCAACGGTTTCAATTCAGCTGTCCCGTTAAAAATGCACCAAAATTTCATTGGTTTAGTGTTTAAATGACTTTTTAGACGGGACTATGGTTCGAGACGTTGGCGACGGTGGTATTTAGTGAAAAGCTTTCTAGAACGAAGACATGAACTATTAACCAAAGTACTAACCGATGCATCTCTAGAATTGGGTTATGATTTAGATTTTAAGGCAAATGTCCAAGACTGTCACTCATTTTAAGATTTGAAAAAAGTTTTGTTCGTTCGCATCTGGTCGTTATACATAGATGTTTAACGGAGTGCGATGGTATAATACGTACAACCATCTGCGTTATTCTGAGTAGTGGGCAACATCCATCGTTTAGTTTTATAGTAGTTTACTTAAACATAAATCCCGAGGAGAACGCGGGTACCTAATACGACAGAACGATTATGAGGTGTTCCGTGTACAATTTGAAACGTTTTAAACGGTAATTTGCCAGCAATGACAGCCTAACGCACTTACAAGAAATTTTTAGTCGTAAAACAACTGTTAATATTTAGAAAATACGTTTTAAATGGTCCCGCAAGTAACAATTATTCGCAACACTTAATAGAATCCTGAATGCGTGTTGCGACCGATAGTACTTTCACTTTTTAGGAAATAATGCAGATGATCTAAACAAGAAAAATAACTCTGTATTAACGGAAATTTGCCCTTCACACAAAACCATGATTGTTTCGGTTTTTAGTTACTTCTCAATAATCAAAATAGGTCAAGAATTAGCCAAAATATTTGTAAACTTTGATGTCCCTTTGTAAAAAAAAAATTGCCATCGAATCGAAAATATCCCACTGAAACACTACCCTAGAATACCATTCCCCCTATTCATCAGATCCAAATTTTAGAATCATAAAATGATGAAGTTTTTACTGATAATCACTCAAAGGCAAAATAAACACCTCTGTTAGGATTTAGATTCATCATCATCATCATAAGGTCGTCAGTTCTAAGACTGGTTCTCTATCCACGATATCCTCATTATTCGCCGGTAACACCACATTTCGAATGCTTCTAACCTTTTCTTTTCTGCAGCGTCCACCGTCCATGTTTCGCACCCGTACAGCGCCGCGCTCCAAACATACACCTTTAATAATCTTCTTCTAATTTATAAATTAATCGCTCGCTAGCATAGAAGTAACTTCTTTTTATTGAAGGCGACTCGACCCCGTGCTATCCTCTGCTTTATATCCCTCTACTATTCCTTTCGTCCTGACTTATTTGACTTCCTAGATACCTAAAATCAGCCACTTCTTCTAATCTTTCGTCTCCTATCTTTATATGCGCTCTTTTCCTAGTTTTTCTTCCCTTGCATACCAGTATTTTTGTTTTACTTTTNTGTGTGTGTCAATGAATGGTACGTATATATAGTACTGTATTTACGGCAAGTCAGCGGGAAATGTCCTTCTAATGCGTGCTATTTCTTTCATTGTTATTCGTTGTTGTTACAAATTATGATAAAAACATTATCAATCTCACGGCGACCTGGCGGGCGGGAAATTTTCTTAGGCTTGAAAGCGAAAAAATTACATAAACACGTTTCCAACGCAAGAAAAAGAATAATTATGAAGTATTACGTAAAAGCTTTAACAATACAAATCAACGAAATATGTACAACAGGATATAATTGTTAGACATTACTTAAATGGTTTCCATTAGTAGTTACAATGAAAATTTTTAAGTGATTTTCTTTTTAATAATACAATCAATCATGAAATTATATCGTATCTTTTAATCTGAGATACTTTGGAATTTCTATGAATCCCAAAAAAATTACGAGCGGAATATCTTAATCAATCATTAATAAATTAAATACATTGTCCAATTTTTATAATTATCCAATTATAATCATCAATTTCTGCTAATATTTATAATTACAGTGATTGAAAGTTAATTTCTAGAATCCGAACAAATTATTTTCCTTATAATTCCAAGAAGCTGTTTAATATTTGATTTTTAAAGAAAAGAGAGACATTATAGGGTATGTACATGAATGTAATTCTGGACTAAAAATTTTTATAAATGGACACGAAAATGTAGTTTTAATTCTAATGTCAGTTATTTCGTGCGCATTCTTATAATCCTAGATAGACATTTTAGGCCTATTAGCTTTTTGGTCTCATGAACGGGAACATATTCAGTCTTGTCCTGCAGGAAGTGGCCATTTCTGCAGTGGTAGATTCTAGTTCTTATAACAGTAGTAATCGCATCAAAATACAGGCAGTGATTCTAGCGTATTATGGCA